GTGCCCCATTTCAGATCTGCTGCAGTAAGGCTCTGCACACAGAAGTGCTTGGAAAGGGAGGCTCTCACTGACCTGCTCTTCCTGTGAATTTTTGCTCCCAAAGTGCTTATTATGATTTATTTCCTTAGCAACCCCAAGCCTGTTGATGTGGAAGCTGCCCTTGCCAGCAAAGCAATCCCCTAATGCAAGTTCAAGAGGATGGATTTGGAGACAAAATCTGCACAGCAACAGACTGAACGTGCAGACCAAAACACTGGACTGTGACCTGTGAACGACTGACAGCAAAATCTCTCAGACCCAACCCCTGGGCATGATATCTCTCTCCAGCCAAACCAGTTTCAAGCCAGGGTAGCAGCTGGTTTTAGTCCTGCCATATCCGCCACCCCTCTTGCCTGGCCAGCAGCAGGCAGCCCATTTGGGCACCTCCTCTGTCTCCCTCCTTGCTGCATGGGGAAAAGCCAAGCAACACACCCAGAGAAAGGAGGTTGCAGCTCAGAGAAGGGAGCACCTGAAAGGCATTTTATTTTAATTAATAAAAAAGAGTAATTTAATTCTCACCTCCCTCCCTGGTGCCAAGGCAGTATCAGTTGCATCCTGGTGAATGTCTCATCCTGGAGTTGCTCCTCTATGGAATGAGCTGGGGAGTCACCCGTGGGTTCCTGGAGGGGCCTGAAGGATCTCCCTCCAGATGTCTTTTTTCAAATGGAAGCCATTCAAAAGGTAGGGTGTGAAGAGGCAGAGGGAGAGAGAGCGCCGAAGGAGAAAACAGAAGACCCTAACTAATTAACTGAAGATTTTGGGGTATGTTTTGAAGAGGTAAGAGCTGACAAATTCCTCCTAAGTTTGCTCAGCCCCCAAAGGTGCAGCCGGTAAGGGGAGGGTGCCGCACCTCATGGGCAGGAAGGGGTCATGGGGTGGCTGTGCCAGCATGAGAGGAAAGGTCATCTGTGGCTGCTGGAGTCAGGGCTGGGCTTCAGAGCTGCTCCCTCTCTAAAACTGTACATCTGCTCCCATTCTGTCCTTTCATCCTGCCTTGCCCAAGCAGCACTGGTTGAACTGGAGGATGCTCTGTGCTCCTGCCACTAATCCAGCAGAGGCACCTTTTCAAGCCAGAACTTCACTTATTGCATTCTACAGCTACCTCAGATTGTAGCAGGGTGGAGGCTGGTTTGTTTTCCAAAGTAGCAAGTGATAAGACAAGAGGAAATGACCTCAAGTTGCTCCAGGGGAGGTTTAGATTGGATATTAAGCAACATTTCCTCCCAGAAAGTGTTGTGAAGATATGGAATAGGCTGTCCAGCGAAGTGGTGGAGTCACCATCCCTGGAGGTATTTAAAAGCTGTGTAGATGTGGTGCTGAGGAATGTAATTTAGTGATGGACTTGGCAGGGCTGGGTTAACCATTGGACCCAATGATCTTAAAGGTCTCCTCCAACCAAAACAATTCTATGGTTCTGGAATTCATTAGCCATTCTCTTACTGTTTTACTAATTATTGCTGATTCTGTTAATAGGGTTCTACTTCACCTCTCCCAGCCACCCTTCCTTTAAGAAGGAAAGAAGTGTAGCTCATGAAGCCTGCTGGCAGAAGCTCAGTGATCAGTTTAGGGGCAGTAGCAGCCCAGAGCGATGCTTTACGTGGCACCCCAAGTGTGCCTGCCTGCATTCATCACACCGAGCAAAGCTGCTAATGCTGCAAAGGCTGCCACAATCCTCAGCCTGCTGGACAAGACAGTGGGCTCAGAGTGGTAGAGGCATTCCCACAGGCATTTCTTGAAACTCAAGTTAGCTCTGGCTGGGGAAGGAGGCACTTGTTGGTATGAGAGAAGAAGCCGTGACAGCAGGTGGCTGACCTGTGTCGCAGTGGGGGCCTCGCTGGCTGGCCATGCTGGATGCAAGAAGCTGGTCTGCCTGGGAACACTGGCTCTGTGCTCCTCATGCCTGACACTTGAGCAAGGGAAGAGCTCTCCCCAAATCCTTAGATTTGCTCGTTTGCTTTTTTATTTAAAGCTAATGCTCACAAAGTATTGAAACGGCCTGAAGCAACCAGAGTGCCTTTTGATCCAGCTGTGAGTGCTTAGAAGTAGAGGAGTACTGCTTTTAAGGGTATGCACATCCACCCATCTGTTGGGAATAGTTCAAAAGTGCAACTGGGCTGGCTGCAGTCTGAAGCCAGAGCTGGGATCAGCACAGCAAGCAATTTGTGCAAGCAGTGTCTAAAACAGCAGTTAATGGAGGAGCGGCTGCCACGCGTGTTCTGGCTCTTCAGGCTGTGTTCTGAGGAGACGGCCTGACACCATTGGCACAGCAGGGCTGCTGAACTACTCTCACCAACAAGACTTGAAAGAGAAAAAATCGTTATAGTTGCAATATTACTGCAGTAATGTTTGCCTCCTAATTGCCTTTCAGTTGAAAAGCATGCAGTGAGGGATTTTTGTTATAAGCATTACTTACATGTAAAATGAATCCTCTAACTGCCTCCCCTGTAAAAAACAGAACGTTAACTACCGTGGCCTGGTCGATCCTGTCATACCTACAAATGCCATATCAAATGAGATAGCACCACTGACCACATACATCAGATACACACATGAAAGCTTTCAGCACATTAAATGTAGAAACATCATTGTCACTAAGGAGTCTGTAAACACTGCATTGGTGTTATCAGCCCTTTGAGCTGCAGTGTCTGGAGTGGGGGAGGTGGAGGGAAGGGACGTGACCCAGAACTGGATAGGAAGGATTCTTGCTCAGGGAAGTGGTAGTCCTGGGTTTTTTTCCCCACTTTCAGAACAAAATGTGAAGTTACAGGTTCTCCAGGAGAACACAATAACATGCAAAAATCTTCTTGGAACAAAGACGTTCCATTTCCAAAATGTCAAAATGATGTTTTGACATTCCCAAAAGCTGTAGTTTCAGTTAAATAGAATTTTACATTAGAAAGTGACATGCTTTTATGAAGAGTTTTGGTTTTGACTAAGTGGGATTTCCAGCACTGAAGCCATCAACAAATACAGCAAGATTTTTACATATGTGGGGATCTTTGTTGGTAGGAGATTCCATTTTTAAAAAGACATAGGAGTGAAAAATGAACTGTACAGGTTTGTTGTTGATGTGAAGTCACCTCCATCTCAATCAGACAGTCAGCTGAGAAGATTTCCATTCTCTACACCGTGGACACAAATTGATGTGGGTGAGTGTTCCAAGCATCAACACCTTTAGGGTTCTATATATTACATCACTGAAGAGTATATGACTTTTCATTTAACACACTTGTTCAGCTATTCCTATTAAAGGTGTTCCAGTGTGTAAACAGGACGTGCTGAAAACTGGTCGGTCCTGTAAAGATTCAACCCTGCAAACATATGCAGGATACAAACTTTTATAATTTGGGGGAGTAGTCCCCAAGAGTTTTGTGAAAATCCTTAGGGATATGGTTTCTCGTATTGTTAAGGATTTTCAGGATTAGGTCTTGAACCAGAATATTTTTTTTGGACTTCTAGTCTAGCAACACGCATAAAGTTGAATTTTATTCCATGAGGTATTTTTTGTAATATTCTGTTCTGCATAAACAGGGTTGAACAGTATAATGTCTTGCATATTATCAGGACCCTGCTTCTCTGTTTAGATGAGGATAGCTCTAAATCAGCGTGCATGACTTGCGAACATTTACTGTCTCTCCTTGTCATGCACTAAAGCTTTAAACTGTACAGATGAATCCCTTCATCATCCTCCTTTGTGAAGGATGAAAATGAGGGCATACCCACGCCACAGATTACCTCCTCAGCCCAAGACCTGTCCTCTCCCACCTGGCCATGTGGAATATCAATGAGCACCTTTCAGATTTATGTAAGAGGCAGAAGGACATTAGTTTTAATCCACTTGAGATGGAAAGCCTGACCTGTCTGCAACTGTGCTGAGAGCTGAGGCACAATCAGGAACCAAACCTAGAGAATCCACCCCAGACCTGGATGTCGTTGCAAAGTAGAGAGATGTGCCCTACATTGCCAGCCTCACCTGGGGAATGCTCTCACCCAGCTCCCTCGCTTTTTAAAAATAAAAACCAAACCAAAGCGAGAAATTCTGCTTCTTCTTAGCGTGCGCCAGACAGGAACAGCTCAGGGAAGGGAGCCGACAGCTGAGCACGCCAGACACCGTGGGAACCATCCACCCCCTCCTCAGTATAACGGGAAATATCCTGTCAGAAACACTCTCTGCCTTTGGGTTTTTCTTGAATTAATTGTCTGTAAACAGTGACGGGTGTATTCTGTTGGGAGCCTGCGACTCCTTCTCAGTATTTATGGATGTGCTCGGCAGGAGAGTCGTGATGGTCAAAGCTCATCAGACAGAAAGCACCATGGCATCAGAGCTTCAGCCTCAAGTACGTTAGGGCTGCTCCCTCTAGTGGGAAAAAATACTTTACCGGCAAAAAAATTTCCCCCCAATTTTCTTTTTTTTTTTTTTCTTGAAACTTTTTTTTTCCTTCGTAAACCGAAGAATTCAAGTTTTCCAGATAGTGCAAGACATGAGGCGTTCCCATCAGACACTAGGTGACCAGACACCATGCTTTTCCACCCCCTGAGCATCGGTGGTGGAACTGGAGCCCAGCCGATGCAGGTCAGTGGTGACTCCTCTGAGACAGACCCATGGCAAGTGAGAGACTCTTGGTTAGTCTTCCAGTAGTCCTCAGCATATGCTGTAGCTGTGTTTGGTTTTGATTTCCCACTTCTGATTATAAAAATAGGACTTACTATAATCATAATAATATTAATGATACAAAATAATTATTGTAATTATATACTTTTTGGCAAATTATTAACACAAAGCAGCCCAAAAGAGCCCATTGGATTAAAAAAAGGTGACAATGCACAAATGTTAAAAAAGACAAAGTCTTTGTTAAAAAGCAAGGAAAAACAATCTGCAAATGAATGCATTTCTGTAAGGCAACCTGTTACCTTTAGTCTTCCATCTAGAATTAGGTCAGGTTCTGTTGTTCAAGAAATTGTTAGAACTTGGCTTGCTTGAGCTTATCAATGTGGTAACACAGTTTCAGCGCAGGTCCCAGTTTCAGCCCCAGGTATTTCATGATCATGTCACTTTTCAGCAGCAATAAAGCATTGCCATCGATCTCCTGGTTTCAAAAGAGAGAAAGAAAATCAAAATTTGTCAAGCCCCTTCCAATGCTGCATCCTGACACGTTAAACAAGGGGAATTAGAAATAGCATGTCTTTTAGAGTAGATCTAGCTGAAATGTCATGCATTTTGAAATTTCATTTTTTAAATTGAAAACTGAGGTATGACAGAAGGAAACTCTAAGGAGTGATTAATCAAATGGTACGATTTATTCTTCAGTGATCTATAAGGTTTGTCCAGGTGTCCAATTATTTTGCAATTGAAACATGAGGATTATTTTAAAAATCAGGGTTATTCTAAGCTCAGTCCTGAGAAAAGCCAGTCAGCCTTGAGGAAAGGAGTAAGTGATGGAGCAAGAGAGGGTTGTGGTCATGTGAACTGCTAATAGCACACCTCTGGATCTCAGTGCCAGCCTTAACCTGGCTGTCTGCATGTAGCTTCGGTACACTTATATCCAGTGAAATATATATACATGTATGTGTATATATATGTATATATGTTTCTTCTTCCTAAACTAAAGATTTAGGAACTTACTATTTTCATTGTGTTTATTAATAAAATTTGTTCAAATTAAATTTAACCCTAAACATAAGCAGAGGAAATTGCCACCAAGTTCAGTTGTTTATTCCAGACCTGTTGGCTTAAAAACCTTTTGAATTCATGAAGTGCTGTACTGAGCACAAAGCAGCTTGGGTGAACGGAGAAACAGAATCTGTGGACTGTAAAATACAGAAGCTTTCAAGTGTCCTCCCCTGCATCTTAAGCTTGTCTGTTTTTTCCTGACTGTATCAGTGTATGTGCAAAAACAAAGACTACCCCTCCCCACAGTCTCTACCACTCTTAGCTGCTTGAACCATCAGAGCTACATATGCCCATATATACTCACATTAATGCTGTGTATATTGCATGCTATGATTTTGGTCAGATCATTCCTCTGTGATCCATTACCTACTAATTAAATAATACTATGGATCCTAATTTGCCCTGATCATTATTATTCCATTCAGTAGGTGATTTAGGTGATGAGCAGTTAAGGTCACTTTCTGATTAACTCAATCAATTAATGCTCTTCATTTTGCAATGCCCACTCTATCCACAATGGAAATTATTTTCACCCTCCCCCTCTCATTCCCATTGTTTTAAGGAAGCTAAAGGAAAATAAGGAAGCTAAGGGAAAGTAAGAATAAGTATTATCTGTAATTAATATTTGTATAAGAGAGAAAATCAGACTCCTGGAACTGTGATGTCATGGGTAAAAACACTGTCAAGGGTTTGGTGTGGAGGCAGCTGTTTCTAAATGTTGAGTTCAGCATTTTTTGATTTCCATTATTACTCCTGTACAGGGGTCAAAATTAAACTCCATGACAAGAGTATGCCAGAGGGAGCATTCATACCCAATTAAATATCCCATATTAGCCATGTCCCTGTTCAGATTGTTGGCTTGACTCCTCTACAGCACTATTGTATCAGCCTTTTAAAAAATAATTTTAAAAAGGAGTCTATAGTGTGGTCTCAATTCCACAATAGCCCTACAAGAAGATCTTAAGCCGGATTTGGAGGTGGTAAAATTGAGTGCCATCTGTGCTGTTTGCCTTTTTGTCATGAGTTGAGATCTGGCCCACTGCAAGTTAGAATGTTGCAGGAGAATATTCGTGTGTTCCTTTGAGGGGATGGAAGCAGCAAGTGTATGAACCTCGAGGTCACAACACAGTGGGTATAAACATACAGATTCCACCTGCAAGAATGAGCATTACTGTGCTTGTGCCAGCTTCATGCAGCACTTATTCTGAGATACTATTCAAAAAGCAGAGCAGCCCCCAAACAAGCCCTGTGCCACGCAAACAAGATTTGCACCTGGTGGTTCATGTCCCCCAGGATGAGGCTTTTAATGAGAAAAACATAAGTCCTAATCTTCATGTGTGTTTAAACATCTAATTCTGAGTCAAATCAAGGACTGTATCCCTTCTTTTGTATTCTGATATCTCGTGACCAGCCCTGGTAAGGCCACCACCTGTGACAGGAGTGCAACAACTGGCAGCTCAGTGGTTGGTGCTCAAACATTCGAGATGAAAGTCTGAAGAAAGATGCATGCTCATGAGTGTGATGTCTAGCACCAACAGAGACAGGTTGCTATTTGAAGAAATTGGATTAATTATGTTAAATTTGAAGGTGTTTGTCTCTTTCATACATGCATTTGCCAATCACTGGCCATAATTAAACTGTCAGACCAAAACATTGCTTAGATCCCTTCTAGACTGTTTTCTACCTGCTAATTCTCTGTGTAACTCTTTAAAGCTCTCCTCCAGCTCCTTTCCTCCATTCTTTCTACCAAGTCTTTCTTGATGAGAGAGCACTGAACAGGACTCTTACACAGTGATGCTACAAGGTCCATGCCAGGCTGGTGGCTCCTTTGCATGAGGTTAAAAGACCTGTCAGCTGTGGGCTCAGCTCTCCTTAGCACACAGCTCTGCTGAGGGAGCAGGGAACAGCCGAGGGGACGCAGTAGGCAGTTTCATCATCTTTGGTGGGCATTCTCAAGAGCCACTTGTGATAGAGCTCCTTGGGTGTCTTGGCAAGAATAAAAGCTTCTGCTCCTTTTTGTGAAGAGCAAAGCCAGAGCTAGGTGTAGCAACTGGGAGAGCCAGCTCTGGGGACTGCAGTTAACCCTTCCCCCAGCCTTTTCTTCCTGGTAGTCCCACCACCCTCTCTCTCCTAGAGTCATAACTCATATGAGCTGATTGCCAATGCAATGATTGCAGGTGATAGCTGGGCCTTGTCAATGACAGTAAGTGCTTCTAAGTAAATTATGCACCTGCTTCATAGAAAGATTGAACATACAGGAAGATATGCCTAAGGTTAATGGACTAATCACTTGTCTTTCACCCCTTGGGTCTCTGTGCTAATCCAGATGAGGTTTGAAGGCTGAAAAATTGCAGGGACATATATAACTCAAAGGTGTAATTGAATTGAGTTGTGTGGTAATCTTACCCAGGTTCTCACACCTATGGCATATTTTACAAGGAAACCAATGATAAGTAGAGCCCATGGGTGATGGGTGTTCAACAAAGAGTGACAGGGCCAATCTTTAGTGCCAATTTAGCTTGATCTCTCTGGTCACAGAGCAGCTGTAGTGTTGTGGCATGCTCCAGTGCGGCTGGCCTATGACTGCCTGGAGTGTGTTGCTGCCCTGTTGCTAGAAAAAAGCACATTGTGCCATCCTTTGCTACAAGTGGAAATTAGACAAAACCTGTGCTTTTGCACTGTCTGTATTTACAAGATGAACGTTAAACATCTATTTTCTTTGGGATGTACCTGTATGCCTCAGACCATGGTAATTCTCTCTCCCTTGTATGAAGAGTTTTCTCATGTTGCACACCCTCTTCTGAGAGTCTCAAAAACTCATGCTAGAGCAAGTTCCTTTTAATCTAAAGCTGGCTTGTTTATCTGCCTGGTTGCCCACATGGCCAACATAGGCCATGTTTTCATGATCAGCTTTTAAGGCAGATCTTTCTTCTCTGCAGAAGATAGGGAAAGCAGGCTGGCAACCTGACCTGCAATTGCAGGTTTGGTTTTAGCACCACAGTCTCTGCTCAGTTGTTCTCATGCCCAGTGATGCTTCTGCAGAATAGCAGATGGCCTTAATACCTGCCTTGGGTGAGGAAACACCAAGGCCTGTGTTGGTCTTCATTTTCATCTGCTCCTCAGCCATCTCCTCTCCTCAGTATCTGGAAACCCAGCATCCAGGGTATAGCCCAAAGTTCATCAGTTGTCTCCCTCAGCTCTTGTCTACAGCCCCACATTCCCATCCACCCCTGCTGGCCAACAAACAAGTAGTGGGACCTGGTGATCAAGCCCTCTCACTTGCTTCACAACCTGAGGTGCTGTTCAGGAGTCATGGCTGGGGTGCCTAGGTCCAGGCACTTACATCCAAATCTATGACCTCCAGCTGAACACAAACAAGACACTTTTACAGGAAAATCCATTTTCATAGCCAGACTGAATTAATCAAGGAGAGATGGAGGAGGAAGAGGAGGAGGCTGAAGATGCTGTTAGATGCATTGGTGCCAATTTCATATACAGCAGCAGAAAAAGAAACTCCAAATCAGATGTGTGTTTACAGTCTTACCCTTTACTAATTAAGTCTAATATCATTTCCACCACTGAAGACTGCCTAGCAAAAGCAACTGTCATAATCTCCAGTGAGCCAGCAGGTCTGTTGAATTTGGTTATACAGTTACATAATACTGAGGAGAAAAAGATTCAAAGCTCGGCTGGTTTGGGTTTTTCCTGATAAATATCTAGACATACATTAAAAAAATTCTCCTCAGAGAAGAATCATAGGTATCGTAGGAAAAAATTGTCACTGAGATGAGGCTTTTTTTGTGTCAATCTGACAATGACATTTGAGCACCAGAGCCCCCATGCATTCTCCTAGGCTTGGCATAGAAACAATTTATGATGGAGAAACAAATAGTGAGCATTTTCTAAAGACATCCTTAGGGTTTCCCCATTGAAGGATGAATAGAATAGAATAGAATAGAATAGAATAGAATAGAATAGAATAGAATTCAGTTGGAAGCGACCTACAATGATCATCTATTCCAACTGTCTGAGCAATTGAAGGCTGACCAAAAGTTAAAGGATGTTATTAAGGATATTATCCAGATGTCTCTTAAACACTGACAGGCTTGGGGCATTGAACACCCTCTCCAAGAGGCCTCTTCCAGTGTTTGACCACTTTCTCAAGTGATAAGTGAACATCTCTTCAGCCCAAACCCCCCAGTGGTGCTGAACTCCTTTCAGGACCCTGTATTAAACCTGGGTGAGCACAAACACTGCTTATAGCAGCCAAAGGCAGCTGAGGGGCCATGTGATGTACACTGGCCATCTCTTGGGACTACCCATGCACTTGTCTTAAACTACCCAGAAGCAGTAAGAGCACTCTTTTACATACGTGTTTTCTGAAGATCTCCACGTGGGGACCTAAAGCATGAGGGTCTGCATCCTTCACAAACCAAACCACATCATCCACCGTCCAGGTCAAAGGATTCTTGCTTGATGGCCGAGCCGTGTCTTGTAGTTCTGGGGAAGGACTTGAGGCTATTGGTACAAAAAAGCCCACGACAGTGCATTACAATGGCATGCAGCAGTTTCCTTGGTTTGTGAGTGTACAGGGGAACGGCAGCCTCACTGAGGTGTTGGACATTGGATCTGCGTGTGCAAGTATCAACCTGAGATGGTGGGGTGGGAGAGAAGGGGACTTGGAGCAGCTTCTGATCTGATTGCTTATCAGGAGACATGATCCCAGCTTGCAAATGCATGAAAAAACATGAAACCCTCAAGTTCTTGCTGGGGAAGGAAAAATGTGCCAGCTGCCAGGCTCTTAAACTGAGCTGCCCCTGCTGTCTGCTCTGCAAGCAGCAGGGATCTTGGCTCAAGAAGACACCACCCTCCCACCCGGAGAGAAAGCACTCCGCATTAAACAAAGACGTTTGCCACTGAATGCAAAGGTTAGCAGATAAGACCAGGATTTTGCAAACAGGTTATTTTTTCTTTATATTCAGATATTCAGACTTATCTTAGAGTTTAAAGGAAGGTTTCTAGTCCATACCCTCCTAATCCTAGGCTACCATGAAGCTGACGGTCCCCAATGAATGCCAATTTGGAAAGCTACTAAAACACATGAAGATGAACATGACTTTTTAATGGTACAAGCCCTGGATGATTTAAGGTCACTTTGGCTTGCTGTAGCTTTAAATCAAGTGAATAAAGGCACATTGGAATGAAAGTGCATTTATGTTTTTATTCCTAGTCTCTGCAGAATTATAAATCTCAACCTCTGTGTAAATACAATTTGCATCCCTGCTTATGCTGCATCACTATTACAAGAGCTATATTATGCTAGGTTACAGGAAAGCTTTTTAAATTTTTTTATATCTACAATAAGCAAACTTTGCATTAGCAGCAGCAGCACACAGATGTATAAAATGTTACTTGCCTAGCCCTGCTCCTCTCTTTCTGTTAAGGCCCAGTTTTTATTGAGTTGCAAATGGTAAGCAAGCAGACACTACAGAAGGCAAAAAAAAAGGGAACAGAAGAGTGCAAGTAGAGGGGAACCACAGATACCTAAACTGGAGCTTGAAGAAGCCCCAGGTAACCAAGAGGGCAATCAGAGATGCTGAGGAGAGGAGGACTGAGCTTTCTAGAGAAATACTGAGCTTACAGGGACAGATAAAATGTATGAGAATGCCCATGTGTGACTCAAGCCATGGTTCTAGTGCACGTGAGCGAATGTAGTGGGCTGGGTTTGTGGCATATGTAGATTGTCATCCCACTGACTTCAGTAATGCTGTGCTGATTTATGTTAGTCTAAAGCTCTGCCCATATATGCCCGGTAACAGCTTTATGTCCATATTGGCCCTTTTCTTCTTGCCACCACGCTCATCTTGTAGTATAACTTAATGAGGTATGTTTTGCAGTTATGAAGGATGAACTCCAGAAAGCAGCAGTGCTATGAATGTGCAAATCTGGTCGATGGGCTCTATAATGGGATGTGATGTAAATATCATTATAATTACACTCTCATTTGCTATGTCACTGTTCTGGATATAAAGGACAAGGAATAGCCGCAGGTCCTCTTAATTAGACAATGAGGATTGGTGTTCACATGGACTCCGGCAACCCCGGGCTGCACTCACAGAATAAATGCAATACACAATGGTACAGACACCATCTGGAGCCTTTGGCATGAAGTGATGGAGACGAAGAGTGCAAAACGAACAGGGTAATCTTGTCCAACCTCTGGATCATCAGTAACATTGAATAACTTTGTTAGGGAAAAGTGGGAGAACTAAGACTTGGCTTGGAGGCAGAGAGGTGGTACTTCTCCCCTACCTGATCTGCCAGTAGTCTGGATGCCAGCTGATCTGTAGACACATTGGGCACCTTGACACCTCAAATTGAAGGTCAAGAAGAAAAAACAAGCTTTCAAAAGTCAGATGGAAAACAGAAGGAGGAGAGAAAGGTTTGGCTGTGCCCAAAGGATTGCAGAAGTTTTTATGTTACTGTCATAATGTGTTTGGGGGAGAAGTTGTGCCACTACTGAGGATCTAATTTTTTCCCTTAGATTTGTATGAATGTAAGGAAAGCCCAGGGGGCTTAGTCTAGGATTCTCACGGGGCACAGAGTAAGCGGCCTCCAGCCCAGTGACTCCTACCTACAACCTGCTGCTTCCAGAAATGCCAGAAAAGGGCAAAGGGGAATAGGGATCCCTGAGAGCAGCTGAGAGCCTTCACAGATATTGGAAATATCTGTAATGAAAGGAGGGGGGATGAGAAGAAAAGGTTGAAAAGACAGGGGAATTCTATTCACTCCTCCACAATCTAGCAATCAATAGCATAAATCTGATTTTTTAAAGACAAATATATAAATGACCTTTCTAAAGAAAGCACATGGCTAGAACTCTTCCAGGTTCTGTCAGGTGCAGATAACCCTTTCAAATCCTACCTGAGGTGTAATATAATAATATAAAAGCAAGAACTATGTGTAGATACTAACTCTTTGAAGATTGTTTGATCTTTATTTACATACCTAGAGTCAAGTCCTGGTTTCTCTGCTACTTTTTCATTAATTAGGATGTGGTAGTTTACTTGTGTGTAAAGGGCGACTTTCAAAAGTTTTTTAGCAAGACTGGGATACGACCAGCTTGCAGACAACTATCTGGAACACAGTTTGTGGCTGGAGAGTCTGGAAATAATCTGGTTTTCAATATCTTTTAAAATGTATTTTGTTGCTTAATTTACTTTGGCTCTTTAACATCATAGTTTGCACATTTAAGTGCAATCTCCCTCTTTACAAAAATAAATGAATCATTTCATGTCTACACAAAGGCGTAGGGTTTGCTTCAATAGCATCACTTTTCTGAAAGATTATATTATGCACAAAAGTGTTTGATGGCAGCAGGGCAAGTACTATACATTTTTTCTTATCTGAAGGTATTCACACTTAACCTAAGAATTAGATAAATGAGGACGTCTTATGTCTCCCGGGTATCCTATGCCATCCTGTCATCAGAATTAATCAAGATGATAATGAATACTCAGATTACAAAGAGATGGGAGTGCTCGCAACCAATAATTATTTTTAGAGATCGTAATCTAGGTCAAATCCAATTTCCTGTTTTTGACAGGTGGCAAAAATTTGTCAAATTAATGGAATGGGATATGGAAATTTAGGTAATCAGAGGGAAGCACTTCCCCCTCCTGCCTGAAGCGATGTCAGTGAAGGAGAATGAAGAGGTTCCTCTGCTGGGTAAGGTCTTGGGGCATCCCAGTCGAGACCATTGCCTACACAGAAACAGCAGGAGATACCAGGTCAGTGGGCAAAGCCTGGCAAAGCCAATGGAAATATGTGGCCTGGACTGATCTGAGCTCTCACCCCACACAAGCTTTTCTCTGCCTTCCACCTCTGGACCTTCCTAAGAAGGGGAGAGAGAGAGAGAGAGAGAGCAGCAGCTGAACAGCTGCAGAGGCATGACAAAGAAATCTGATGCTAAAATGGAGTTAAACCTGCAAAAGAAGGAAAGATAAATAACAGACTTCCTAAATATGTTCTTGGCAAACAAACAGAGCCCAGAGGGAGTACAGTCATTGATAGATAAGAGTGGAAAGGGAGTGACAGATGAACTTTAATATTGCTGCGGGCCTAAATGATTTCTTTACCTCAGGGGAAGGGGGTGGGAATGAAATTTTAAAAGGTTCTTTCTGATTGCACTGGAGCAGATAATAAGGAGTAGCAGATCTACTGAAACTAAGCAGAAGTAGCAGACCCTCAAAGGCGCAGAGAAATAGGAATTATTTTAAAAAACAAACCACCTCCCACTATAAACAAGGATAAGTGGACGGCTTTGTAGAAGACACTTTTCTAGAAGTCTAGGGCATACCAAGCAGAAGAAGAGAAGCATCAGAAAAGCAGGTGCGTGGGAGAACGCAGGTACAGGATATTTATGGGTGTGGTGGAGTTTGATGAGCCTCAATCAGTAGAGAGGTCTGGAAAGAAGATCTGGCTTAGCACTTTGATTTGCACTGGCTAACGCTTGCAGGAGATGCTGTGCACCACCTGGCTGGTGGCCTCAGCCCCACAGCATGGCAGGACAGAGTCCCTCCCCTAACACTACCTGCTCCCACCCCTGGCTCCCATGCGCCACATGGAAATAAAACATCATGAGTGCTCCTATGCCTGCTGCAAGAGCAGCCCAGCATCCAGCTGCAGGAGATGCAGCCATGGGCTGGCATTAAGTACTTATTTGGGCTTTTTCTTGCTTTGCATCTCTTTTGCAGAAGGAAAAAGAAAAAAATTAAAAAGGCAGGTCACTGAAAGGATTGAGACTTTCAGGCTGTAAATGTCCTCAAAAATTAACAGGCAGGCTGTGTTTACCCAAGAAGTAGTACCCAGCCCTAAGCCCCACAGTGCTGTCAGCAGGTCTTTTGCCACTGCCTTGAGGAGGTGCTGGATCCAGCTCCCACAGGGTGCTTGCAGCATTATCCTGGAAAAAGAGAAACTTCAAACCCTGCACCCCCAAATGTTTTCAGGAAATGAACTCATTATCAAGCAGGATGGCTTCTTTAACAAAGGCCCTCAGGTGATAATAATTAACTGCTAATATTGGGTAATAAAATCTACATAAAAATAACAAGCTACAGGGCAAGGTTAAGGTTATTATATTGTGGCTGAATACACAATTCTTCATATTTGGAATAAAGGCTTTGTTTGTTATGTAAGCAGGCTTGGAAAGGTTTATGATGTCCTTGACTATTCTTTCCCTGATTTAAGAGCTTCAGTTTGGCAAATGATGACAGGAAAGTGCATGTTTATCTGTTAGCAGCCCCAACTGGCTTTCTGAAATGAGGTTTGGGGGGTTTTTTTTTTGTTTGGAATTTTTTAGCATAATTATGGAGAATTAGGCATCAAGCTTCTGATCGCATTAGTGAGAGCTTTGAGGTTTAATCTCATCCATTCCGCTTGAAAGACGTGTTCTGCTATGCACTGAGATATGTTTTATGGTTATGTTTTTTTCCATGATATTTGCCCACCATGATAAA